ACACGTGTGCATGTAACATGCACACATTCTGGCTCCGCCTAGGAGAACCGCCGGATGGTACCTCCGCATTCGACAGTCAGAGACCATCTACCACCTACGGACAATCACAACATCCATAGCCAAGAGAAAAATTTCTCCTGGGACGGGACTCGAACCCGCACAGCGCACGGCGACTGATCAGGAGACCGAAGAGTCTACTACTGCGGCCACCGCGGCCGCCTGGAAGATTTGCCGAATCTTGGTTGGGTTCAATATATACTTGTCTTCTAAAACTGAGTATATGGCTATACTCAGGCAATGGAGCTCCAATTCTCAAAAAAGTAAGTGGTGAGACTAGTTTCAGACCAATTTGTAATAATTTTTCATTTATAACTGTGTGTGGGACTGTAGGACTCACATTCGAAATTACTAGTCGATCGGATGGTGTTATTAGTCTGCGTGCTTTTATGATCTCACCATTCAGTTCTATTTGTCCAGGATTTTCTAGAAATGTATCGACTATATGTTTACTTGCCAAGTATATCTATACAAATTCTATTATTCGAAATTCTAGAACAAAAAAGTATATTTTTAGGGCTGATTATTGGACCAAGTTTGAGTAAATAGTCCTGCAGTCTAGTTCCATTACTAGAATTAAATATTATTGCTTGATCTTTATTTGGATATCTGAATGTATTTTGAGTCAGCACGTTGGAGTATGATTGAGCTGTTGTGACATTTTGGGATGCATTTTGGTGTTTAACGGATGCCATTATTGAATTTCGATAATCGCTCCAGGTGGCCGTCGTATCATTTCTCGATACGGCCCTGTCTCCTCGAGACTATTTTTGTTTTGGAGAGTTTTTACTATGCTGTGCTGCACGAGTAATATAATTAATCAGATAAAGGTTGAGTATGTACTCACAGTGTGTCCGTATAGGTTTAAACTGTTGCACTGGTGCTGTTGCAGACAAATTTCGTTTGATTTTCACTAGTATATTGTTAAAATTTGTAGAGGTTCGCTGTATAGCTAACAAGGCAATTTCGGTCAGGACCGAACTCCATATTATGTCTTTGTGCTTTAGAATTAGGATAACTTTCATAGAATTTCCAGTTTCACAAAAGACGGTCAGTTATGTAAATATGTTATATTATTAAAGGATGTTTTCTCGGTTTTTGACGACTGTCCACGCATGGCAATCTAGTTTTGTCTCTATATCACATACAGGGTGTTGTACAAAATACGAATCTGTAGAAATGTACAGATTTTTTTATTCTGCAAAAAAAGAATACAAAACGAATGCCAATTGGTTCTTCATCTTTTGTTACATCAAAAACAATTTATTGCCAATTTGTCATCTAGAAATCCACACCAAATGTAAACAACAGCACATTCTGCATTCCTGGATCCTAAAGCATCGATATTTGTAAATGTATCCGCATCCTATTATTCAGCATCTAGATATTATAACTCAGAATCAAAAATACCTATTTAAGAAAATATTTGCAAAACTGGTTATATTTTCTTATTATTTTTATTATTATTTTAGGACCTCTGGGATATCAATTGCTTTTGAAGTGATCTGCAGTGTTGCCGAACTGGAAAAATAAACGGAATCGGTAAATAGTGTCGTTGAATTCAGTATAGGGAAAAATGCCGCCCCGAGATCAGTGGTGGATCAAGGACCTTTGAATCACGCAGCGCTGTCTATGAAAAACGTTTATTATTGTATTGAGTGCGCACACAACATGTTTTTGAGGGCATAGTTCTATAGTACAACTTGTGCAATGTGCAATACCGGTCGCTCTTTAAAAGTTGTTTGCAACCATTCTGGAAACTCCTTTTTCGATTTTTGATTATAGGATTGTGAATATTTTTCTGTTTTATTCCTGAACTCATGAACTCACCTCACATTTTAATTAAATATTTATTTTGAAAACAGACAGGTTTCGGTTTCTTTATTACTTGTTCGGTGATTTTGTACGCACAAAAATCAATTCAGGGCAAGCGGAGTGCGGATGTGCGTTCGTAATCATAGGCAACCGAAACCTACACCTCTCGTGTGCCGGACTGTTTGAGTCTGTATGCAAATGTATGATTGATATTGGGAATAAAACTACGAAGACTACATAAAATTAACTTTTAGCTTTATTTTTAGTTCCAGCTCTTTTTGGGCAAGTATGGAAATATTTGAATTATTTTGAAAAATTGCGGAAAATTACGTTTTCGGTAAATATTCTCATTTCGGTAAAAATACCAAAAAATCCGATTCAAGTGCATGCATAGACTATCTGGAATCTGCAATATGAATTTATATTCTAGATTCTATGCACATTCATATTCGTCAATATTTCATCTGAAGCTTCTACTTTTCATAAGATTTAAGTAAAATATAAAATAGTAAAGGCAACACCGCACCCCGCAGTATCTATACTCTAAAATATGGGAATAAAATTATGGATACCTTAAGTATCCATACCTTTCGATAAGGAACATACACTACCGAGAAGTTTTTTTTTCTACAACCCTCAAAATAATGTTTATTTTTCAACTGCATGACTAGATTGTCAAATACGTTCACTAATAAGAATATGTAAGAACCTCACAGTTGCATAAATTACGTCTCCCGCCTTTTTTTAAACAATAATGTTTAATCCATAAATACTAAAAACACTGTGTGTCATGTTTGTGTGATTTCCCAAAACAGAATCCAACCGGGTTGCCAGGTCGTTTAGCTCAGCTTCCGCAGTCGAAATGTAAAACCCTAACTTCAGGACTTGAAAAAAATCTCAAAAATATCATTTATATTTGGTTGCCATAGGTTTACAATTTGTTAGGTATTCTTGGATATTAAAATATTATTTTGAGCGAAATATTATGTGAGGTCGCACCAGCGGAAGGAAACAAAGAAAAAAAGTAAAAACAGCAATCTGAAGTGAGTCACCCTTTCTGACACATTTCGGATCGAAAGATGACGATACTCGTGAAATATACCGATACACCCAAGTGTAGAATACAAAAATATCGATCGAAAATATCGGGTATTCGAAGCAAAAGTATCAATACTTCTAAATATCGGATCGTATCGAACATCTCTACTGTCAAGATGTATAACCCGAGGTACCAAGGGAGCCATTTGGGCCGTCATGGAAGTAAAAATTCGACGTATAGCCTCATAAAGCATATTACAACAGTTGACAGAGTCTGCTCCACTGGGACCAAGCGTTGACGGATCCCACAGAATTATGTCACTTGTTGGGGAGTTTTGAAATATCAGGAGATAATCAGCTGTTATTCAAATGATCTCTAATATACCTATCCTAGAATGTGTAATCGGTGAAAAAAGAAATTATTGCAAATTCTTGTTTTTTGCAGGTTTTAGGTTTGCGACATATATTTAGTATTTCTCAATCGGTGTGAATATAATATGGATGTTTGTTCACTTCCTGAACAACGAAAAATATTCAACTTTATGGATGTATGGATATCAAAAATCCAGAATGGTTTTGCGCGAATATCAATCTAAGGTGCCATAATGGTACTGATGAGCGGCAAGTAAATGAATGAATGTTTGGAAACGAGCAATATCTATGAAATTTTTGGTAGAGCGTCTGTCATCAAGTAGGTGTTTAATGGGTATCTGCACGAGGTTTATAGGAAAAAACATACGATAGGTGATGTTAAATCAGTAAAATCTCAGATCAATTGATCAAAATAATATAAACATGAATAAACAGTAAACAATAGTAAAAAAACATTAATTGTATTAAAAAATCAAACACTTATAAATTTTGACTAAATTATATATAATTTCTTAATATTCAATAAGCTGGTGATGTTTCAATGACAAACTGTCATCTCATACTTTGATAATATTTTGTTTTCAATATTTCATGGATATTGGTTGCTAAAATTTGTTGAATGGGTCTTTAAGCTCATTCGCTATAATTGACGGACTGTTACCCTATAGGTGGAGAATAACGGCTTGTTGATTAGATAATCCTGGTGAAATTCAACCTAACAGAACTAATAAAGAAATGAAATGAAATTCATGTTATCGCGACGATTGTAACAGCTTGCTAACTTGACTCCTTTAACACCTAATTGGGGGCTTTTGAAAGGCAAAGTATGGGGTTATGAGGTAAACAAATTAAAGGAAATAGAAACAAAAATAGTGAATACGCTATTTCTAAACCAAGATTATATACATCTGTACCTCTTGGATTAAATAATGTAGTTGGTGCGGTTAATTTCGCGAGACTATATTTATTTTCTTTATCCACCCAGCGACGTCGACTACTTCCATGAGCTACGGCGTCAATTTCACCAGACCTTTAACAAACTTGCGAGGCTAGTTTATTTTGACCTACGCAGGAGTCGATGCCATTGAACGTATTACTCAGGTAAAATTAATTTCTTAAGTTTACTTGTCAAACACCTCGAACGATCGTTGTCGTCGGGTGGATGGACGAAACATTGGTGAAATGAACTTTGAACTTCGTAGGTTTATTTGGCAATCCCCTCGAATGGGATCAGTGGATGCCGTCGGAATAAACGACAGTCTCGCGAAATTAGCTTCTCAAGTCTATGTTCTTTGTTGGATTTAAGGATATAGTCTCAGCGAAGCTGCATACGTCTTCATTTATTTCTGTGCATGTAGGTCGATCACTGTGATAAATCGAAACATAAACAAGAAACGATTTCTTACGACCCATGCTACTCAAAATATTGGAAATGAATGGAAAACCAATTATGTGCCGACATACGTAGCATTTTCTATACTTGTCGAACCCTTCCATGTAGCAGCAGTGTCACTCTCCTATGGACCATTCTGTGATGCAGACATTGCGTGTCCTTTATCCAGGCAGCACTGCCAGACGTTAATAATATTTTTAAATATGGCATATTTCGAGGTCTAATCAAATTAAATGTGAGAAAGTCATTACAATGGCATTCTTCTCCACCAAGGTGTGTAATTACTTACATTATTTTATCGTAATTCAACAAACAAGGGACTTACGTCATTATTTTTGTCGGCACTAAGAAAGTGCTCTGCAACATGAACAGGCAAGATGTTGTCCAGTAGTTTCCTGTTATACGCTTCCAAATGCTCCATATCCTCTTTTTCTTCTATAAACAGAGAAAAGCTTGATATAAATAGAGTTCCATCTCAACTAAAATGTTAAAAAAGGGACAAAATAAAAACCAGTTCACTGGTTACGAAAATATGTTAAACAATGATTGTACAATGTGGCGGCCATTTTCAAATATGTCGACCAAACAACTAGGATTTTGATCACGTGACTTCTTTTATATATTCCTACAGGTGCCAGTGCCAGTTAACAAATGACATTAGTAGCCGATTATTGACTAAGATTTTTTGGCAATACTAGCAAGAACTGCTTTTTGTATTTGTAAATACTCTCAACTTTTCGAAATTGGTTTTTACTCTACCAAAAATTAAACATTTTCTTATTTAAAGTAGTATAGCATTGGAATAACTGTGTGTGTAAGTTGATAAAAATAGAAAACCTTGTATATCTGAATAATTATCGGATTATTCAATCAATGTGTAATCACAATATATGTTTGATCTAAGAAAACGAGCGAAATGAGCAACTGGTTACTGATTGAATAACCGTTTTATGCTGCCATATTTCAAAAATGGTCGCCAAACCACGATTTTAATCACGTGACCTGATGTTTTATATACATTTATAGGTGCCTAATAATGCCCACATTCAAACTGAGAGAACATACTACGGCATAGTGGCTTGGAATACAAGAAATAACACCCCAAGTCCCTACGGGATGTTCTACGGAGATACATGCACCTAAAAGGCGTGACTGGAAACCAATTTTTATTAAATATTTGATATTCAACGAAATCTTGACAGCGCAGTAACCAGTCGGGGCCTGATATAATGATGCATGAGAAAATAAGTAAATAGGATCTATTTGAGAAAACAGTTTTGTTTCAATACTGTCTTTACCGATTTATGCACTGCAACCAATCCGTAAAAGGTCAGACAAAAGTCTAAAACTTTATTTCCGCCATTTCCCACCGTAGTGGTTTAAACGTCAGTAAAGAGTATTTAATATATAGATGGTTTCGTTTGGCCAGAAGATCATACGTCATATTATATTTGCAACCAGTATGCTGGATCCAATGACAACTATGAAAGAATTATGTTGGAGCAATACTGTCTTTCCCAAAAACGGTTCATTTCGTAGGTGTCAAACAAATATACATCCTTTTCAGATCACGTTCTTCAAACATTTAATTGATGAGCCGCTATTCTTATATAGGTCTTTTCATAGTTTTCGACAAGTCACAGTCAACTACAGGAATTGCTTTTACACATCGATCTCCCTCACACATGTATAATATGCAATCGTCCTCTAAGCGCGGGCGTTTGTATGAATTCAAAGGCATACTTTTAAGTTTTGTCTCACTGCCATGAAAAATGCTCAGTCAACGAATTAATCCTCCACTTTTACACTATGACAATTTGCTTGTCATGGGAGTGTGATTTGTATTTACCCATGTTGATCTTCAATATAAAGCATAGTTAGCGCCGGAATATATAACTACAATGTCGACAGTCTGTATTAGAACTAATTTTATCAAGTGGATGAAAATAACGGTCCTCTATCATCCAATTCATGTATGTATGTGTACGGGCGAGTAGCAGCTACGTTTCAGATCGGCTTGCGCTGTATGCAAATTTTCTTAGGGAAGTTAAGTTACGCAACATGGTGCCATTAGTCAATCGAAATCTAAATGGAACATAAACTGTTTTCTATGAATATCATAATGCGAGGATCCATTAATCAATACGCTGTCGAAATATCGCTGAATTATACCGTACCGACCAAAAGTCATTGATGGAAAACCGATTTATAGTATGAAGAGGTTCGGCAACAGCGCGACCATGTGAGTGCTTGTCGAGTGCAAAGTGCGACGGAAGGCACGTAGTAAGACCTTGAAGATGAGTTGCTGGGGGAGACGGGCATGAGCTCCGGCAAGAGAAGTAACGCGGATATCGTCGCTCAGCCCGACGGACGTATGAACACTGTTTTAATGCTATTTTATTTTCATTTGGAATTGTACACTATCACTTGTAAACCGGCCTCTACCTTACTAAATAAAGTGATATCGCAGTAACACGGTCTTCCTACCCATTAACCTGAGAGAGCTAGCTCGGAAACTATTTCAAGTACCGTTCTTGGAGGTCTGTGTTTTCAGAGGAGAGCCCTGTATGACATATGTATAGGAACTCAAGAGATTATTTTTTGTGTCTACTGCAGAATTTTGCCACGCTATCATTTGAAGATGCTAGAACATAGAGAAACATATGTTGGGTTCAATCAGTTTGATGAGAGATAAGACTGTAGTAGTCATAGTCGCCACGCCAAATAATTCTACATAAGATATATCGCTTTTTGTGTTCTATGTTTGTGTATGCGAGAGAAATTTTGTAAGATCTCAGATTCATGAGTTGAACTGTGGAGAAGCACTCAAAGTTTGAAGGTTAGGAAGAAATATAAATCTTACCCTTTTGGCGACATTTCCATTTTCCCGCTACTCCTGTCAATGGAATGCATGGGGTCACGAAATATATTACTATTCCGAACTAAAACTTTCCAGGAAATTCAATCTGGCCCTCCAAAATGATCTGATGATTCGTTCTAACATGCTTCAGATGAAAGTTACTTTTTCGAAATTTATTATCATTTTATTGGGCTGGCAATTAAAACGCCTTACAAAATAATCAACCTTCTCCTCTATGAACAAAGAAGTTTCGATTTTTTTTTTTTAGATTGGATGACATATAACTTGTCCGCCCATTAAAACAAATTAGAGATTTGGAAAAAAATTATTTTCATTGAAATATCTGCCGCACGATTATCAGATCATAATCTTCATATCATTCTTTAGTTTCTAGGACAACTTGTCTTCAGATAAGTCATTTATTATGGGGCCTAATGCTTTCCAGGGATAGTAGTAGCGAAAAAATGGAAAAGTTACCAAAACCTCATTTTTCGGAACTCCGAATTGGGGTCGATAAACAAATATGAAAGTAATTTATACATCAGAACTACACATTTTGGTATTTTTGGGATGCACATTCATCAAAAATACCAAAAATCTGTAGTTTTAATACTATTCGTCATTATTCGTCAGAGCGGTCCGTTGGACCTTTGCTCTTAGCTAAAAGTCTCGTCGGTCTGTTAGTCTGTCAGTTCTGGCTACCCTGATAACAAACATGTTTAAGGGGAAAAGGGAAAGAAGGAAAGAAAGGAAGGAAGAAATAGAGCAAATAATAGAAGTAAATCATTTGAAATAGCTTAAGCATTATTGCTTTGACTACTCGAATTATTTTGTAGCTCCAAAAAATATACTGAAATAATTTTGGCTGGTCTGAATTTACTATTTAATTGTGATCACAGTGCGAGGCGCGGCATGGAATGTTTGCGAGCTTGCTCGACTGTGTTGTAGTTTTAATGTCCAAATTAATTTCATATTTGTCCACCGATTTCTAATTCTGACTTCAGATTCGTCTTTAGCGGAAAAAATATATGGGGAAAATATAGTGAGACCCCAGCATACCACTTTTATTTTGTGAGCCTAAAATGTTTCCGCACTAAAGTTAATGATGTATCCATTATAACAAAATCACATACACAGGGTGTCCAAGATAAGGATCCTATGCATGGGTATCTCAGTATCTGGGGGAGATACAGCTTAGGTTGAATTAAGAAAAAGTTCCGTACTTTTGGGCCGTATTTAGATGCTGTTGAGAAACTTGTAAAAATTTCATGACTGACGGATATATTTGAGAAAAACTAAAATTTGGCGAAATCATTTTGATTTTTTTCTGACTTTATTTTGAGGAATACCAAAAACCCAACGAATTTTTTCCATTGGCACTGTTTAGGCACTACATTCTCATTTTTTTTATTTATTTCCTCTGGACAAAAATATTGAATAGGAAGAGTCATATATTTTCAAATCAAAAAAACCTATATCTAACAAAAAACAATCAAATAGTAAAACATAAGCTTTAACGGCATAGATCACAATATTCTTCCGCAATGGTGTTTTTAAATTTTGTGCCCGACGATTCGTTATTGAGCAACCATCTTATTTAAGTAGGCGTTGCAAATAAATGTTTGATGTAAGATTATGTTATTACTGATAGATGCATGTTATATATTATATAATGATATGATGGGGTGAGATCTTATAAAATGATCTAGCGGCATTTAGAGTAACGAATACATTTTTGACATTATTTTTATTTTATTCACAATAGGTGTTCAAATAGGTTACCTTGGTCTTCTAAACAAAATTGCTTCCATTACAGATTCTCGTAATTGCTGCTAAGTTCAAAAGTATGCTGATGAACTTACAAGCTTCAATCTACGTTCCGGGTAATCGCTGAGGCAGGAGCAGTTTTGTTGAAACCAACAGCTATTAACCTGTGCCAAAAGTAAATTATCCAGGCAGTCTTCTAGATCATGTAGCAGCAATTCAAGGTGCCGTTCTGCAGTTACTGAGTTGTGGTAAATAAATGGAAGTAATATTTTTATTCCACACCACATATTAAACGTTTTTGATATCTGGATACTTTTTAGCCCGCAGATATTCTTGAGCCCAGGAATGAGTGTTGCGGCGATTAAATATACCATTATTACTGACTATACTCTCGTCAGACCATATGTTTTTGAAGGGAAATTAAAATCTTCTTCACACGTTCGTGTGTACCACTCACAAAAATGCTGGCGCCGTTCATTATCCCCTGGTCTATGTCCTTGGCAAAACCTGAATTTATAGGGGTAACATCTGTTTTTTCGCAAAATAAATTGGGGTGTGGATTTGGGTACTCCTACATTTTTCTCAATTTGTCTAGTTGATATAATAGTAGTAGTAATAATAATAGTGATAATAATAACAATAATAATAATAGTAATAATAATAATAATGATTGATAATATATTTCATTAGTTCTTTGATTTTTTTTTTAAAATAAAGCCAGAAAAAATAAAAATGTCAAATTTTAGTTTTTTACAAATAACTCAGTAAGTAATGAAATCTTTCTCTCAAGGCACGTAAATACGCCCAAAGAACGCAACTCTTAGATAAGCTCTATGTCATAAGATCTTTATCTTGACATACCCGATGACATCGTAAGCAAAACTGCTTCTCCATGTGCGATGCCATATTGCCGCCAAGATCACCGATTTCTATAACATAAGGTTTATCCCTGCAAATCAAGCAATATAGAGCGGCTGGAGCGCCGAGCCTATAAAAAAGTGGCGGATAACGTAATCAAGAAGGCTCAGGCTTGTGCGACTTCCAGAGGCAGAGATACCACATCATTTGTCATACCTCGGAGATTAAAATGGAATATTGGATCTATTCTTTTAATTAAAAAATATTAGATAAACAAATCCGTCACTTATATACTAGCCACCCTGACGTTTCATGAAATTTGTTTTTATAGTGTTTTGGCTGTTTTACCTGTGGCCTGTAACTTCCACACGAAATCCAATCGATAGGTGGCCTCGGTTTGCTGTCCATGCACGATCAGCGCTATCACGAATCCGCAAAGGATGATTAGGCTGACGTACTGTTCGGTTATTCCGCTACCTCCGTCGTTCCACAACTTCTGCATGTCGGAAACGGGGCTGAAACTAACCAACATTCACATTCGATTACTGCCACCATTACAGATACAACTAATCCCTCGAACTATAATATGCAATCCAGTAAAACAAGAGACAAAAGGGGAACATTTTATAATGAAAGATAAGCTAATGTTATTCATGGATCAATACAAATAGTTAAGACTGTTGGAGCTAAATCATATCTAAGGATAGCATAAAAGGCTATTAAATCTTCTCCACGTTCAGCATTCTGGAAAATAATTCAGAAACCAACCAACTTTCTAGTGAAAAATTCTCATTCCATTGACGAAAAATTCCTCAATTTGGATGGTCTCACTGCATGTTGTTGCGATTTAAGAGAAATAAGGTAATTATTTCATATAATGGATCTTTATTTTCAACTGAATGTGACCTTATGTCATTTTTTATAAAGTGCATTCTTTCACTAAGGCAATGATATTCCTGTAGAGGTTTTCTCATGATCTTCAGGTATTTTGAATGAGAAAAACATTTTTTGTGCTATCGTAACAGATACTTTAATTCCAATAGTCTGGACTGCTTATAAAGGGTGTTTCAAATTCGACTCTCACCATTGGACCGGTGTGAAGTTGGCAGACATTTAGCGGACAATTTGCCGAAGATACCCGAATGACCAGTGGCGTCGACATCCTCGACCAGACTGTGATTGTGAAGGATACAGCTAACAGCTCGCAACAATAAATATATATATGCACGAGAATAAGCACCCCTATAGGAAGAATCATTTTCCACCCTAATTAAATAATTGGCAGGAACAAGAGTTAACCCACAACCTTTCTTCGAGTTTTCACTTACCGATTACTGTATTGAAAGTAACTAATGAGCTAAATAGCATATACTGAGAAAATCTCTAAAGGGGTGCTAGATGAAAAAATATAAATAAAACTTCATTTTCACCCCCAAGGAAATGATTCCCCAAAATCAGTTGTACCTCAAAGAAATACTCTATTATAGAGACAATTTATAGGCTAGGTGGCATGGTGTGAGAAAGCTTCTGAAAGGCCGGCAGATAAAAAAATATGCTAAAAAATTCATTTTCACCCCCAAGGAAATGATTCCCCAAAATTAGTTGTACCTCAAAAAAATACTCTATTATAGAGACTATTTATAGGCTAGGTGGAATGGTGTGAGAAAGCTTCTGAAAGGCTGGCAGATAAAAAAATATGCTAAAAAATTCATTTTCACACCCAAGGAAATGATTCCCCAAAATCAGTTGTACCTCAAAGAAATACTCTATTATAGAGACAATTTATAGGCTAGGTGGCATGGTGTGAGAAAACTTCTGAAAGGCCGGCAGATAAAAAAATATGCTAAAAAATTCATTTTCACCCCCCAAGGAAATGATTCCCCAAAATTAGTTGTACCTCAAAAAAATACTCTATTATAGAGACTATTTATAGGCTAGGTGGCATGGTGTGAGAAAGCTTCTGAAAGGCTGGCAGATAAAAAAATATGCTAAAAAATTCATTTTCACCCCCAAGGAAATGATTCCCCAAAATCAGTTGTACCTCAAAAAAATACTCTATTATAGAGACTATTTATAGGCTAGGTGGCATGGTGTGAGAAAGCTTCTGAAAGGCTGGCAGATAAAAAAATATGCTAAAAAATTAATTTTCACCCCCAAGGAAATGATTCCCCAAAATCAGTTCTACCTCAAAAGAATACCCTATTATAGAGACAATTTATAGGCTAGGTGACATGGTGTGAGAAAGCTTCTGAAAGGCTGGCAGATAAAAAATATGCTAAAAAAATTCATTTTCACCCCCAAGGAAATGATTCCCCAAAATCAGTTGTACTTCAAAAAAATACTCTATTACAGAGACTACTTATAGGCTAGGTGACATGGTGTGAGAAAGCTTCTGAAAGGCTGGCAGATAAAAAAATATGCTAAAAAATTAATTTTCACCCCCAAGGAAATGATTCCCCAAAATCAGTTCTACCTCAAAAGAATACTCTATTATAGAGACAATTTATAGGCTAGGTGACATGGTGTGAGAAAGCTTTTGAAAGGCTGGCAGATAAAAAATATGCTAAAAAAATTCATTTTCACCCCCAAGGAAATGATTCCACAAAATCAGTTGTACCTCAAAAAAATACTCTATTACAGAGACTACTTATAGGCTAGGTGACATGGTGTGAGAAAGCTTCTGAAAGGCTGGCAGATAAAAAAATATGCTGAAAAATTCATTTTCACCCCCAAGGAAATGATTCCCCAAAATCAGTTGTACCTCAAAAAAATACCCTATTATAGAGACAATTTATAGGCTAGGTGGCATGGTGTGAGAAAGCTTCTGAAAGGCTGGCAGATAAAAAAATATGCTAAAAATTAATTTTCACCCCCAAGGAAATGTTTCCCCAAAATCAGTTGTACCTCAAAAAAATACTCTATTATAGAGACTATTTATAGGCTAGGTGGCATGGTGTGAGAAAGCTTCTGAAAGGCTGGCAGATAAAAAATATGCTAAAAAATTAATTTTCACCCCCAAGGAAATGATTCCCCTAAATCAGTTGTACCTCAAAAAAATACTCTATTATAGAGACTATTTATAGGCTAGGTGGAATGGTGTGAGAAAGCTTCTGAAAGGCTGGCAGATAAAAAAATATGCTAAAAAAGTCATTTTCACCCCCAAGGATGTGCATGCTATTGCAAAGCCTTTAACAGACGTACTATATCGGAATATATTCAGTTATGTTACGATAAAGCCATAGAAGGAAAATCGACAGATAATAGTGTCATTAAAATATACTTGTGCTGTGCTCATTTTATAAAAATGATATGTCATGATGTTGACCGCATAGCGAAAAATGACACACAGCGTCAATATTTCAAAGATATGCTGGCAGCTGGCTTATCCATTCATAACATCAACGATTTTGATGATTTCGTTTGTAATACCTATATTATCTTGAACTCCCAATACAATAGTCATTTAGTTGAACGATCGAAACTATTTTTCAAAAAGGCAGCAGATGAATTCCAGCCTGAAAGTATCAATGAATTCATTTACATTGAAAATGCTATTGAAATCGACCACCAAATATCTGATGAAGCAATTTATACTTCAAGTCCTTTTTATAAGCGATATTTATCTTTAACTCAAAAAATCTCAATTACATTTGCTCCGAGGGATAACAAAACTGAATACTTCAATGAAGATGTGCTACAACTTATTGCAAAAAAATACATGCCATATTGTCCGCTTTGGTCGAAATTGATGATAGAAAGTGGCCCTCTATTAAGCAACGCTTATGTCGAAAACTATTTCGGACAGTTGAAACAAAACTCTCTCAATGGAAGGCGCAATCTGAAATGTTCAGAATTTGTCAGGATACTGAGAAGAGATATGCTGTCTTTGAGCAAGGAGAGTAACCTTCAAGTATCTAAGACACGCCTTGCGAGAAGCAAAGATAACTTAAATGAAAAACTTTCACAGGAGACCTGGAATAGACGGAAAAGAAATCACACATCTCACTTTAGTGGTACATATTTAAAATCAGCTGTTGTAGATCCCGACAAAGGTAATAAAATCGCCATAAAGGACTGCGTTTTTTCTGAGGACGATTGCGATTTCACTCAATGCATTAATTGTGGCCATGGTACTACGGACGTTGTCACTAATTGGGTCCAGTGCTTTGCATGTAAGAAATGGGTACATGAATATTGTTTGAAATTGGAAAACAAAGTCGATATGGAAACATTCAATTTCACATGCAAGATATGCACATCAGAGCTTCCTCAAATATCCAATTCGAGTGATATCTATCAGAGCTGTGAGGAACACTTAGAGTCCATAAAGTTATCCCCAGAACGGATTTCTATGATAGAACGCGATACACGCCTTCAAAGCAACAGTATAAGATGGCAGGAAGAAAGACAGATCAGAGTTACCTCGTCGTATTTCGGAAGAATTTGCAAGGTAAGGGATGAAAACTCGTACGCTAACATAGTAGCTGCGATTAGAGGTGGAAACAGTAGAAGAACTCCAGCTACTACTCACGGCCTCAAATATGAGAAAGACGCCATACAACTGTACGAAAAACAAATGAACGTACGCTGTTCTACGGCTGGCTTGATGATACACCGTGAGTACCCTTATCTTGCTGCTTCACCAGATGGGCTTGTAGGAGAAGACGGTATTGTAGAGGTAAAATGCCCGTACAATGCTCGAAATTACAATCCCCAAAAATATGATTTCGACTTTCTGAATAAGAATGGAGAATCTATTCGAGGGATACATAATTACCATTACCAAATACAGGGTTTACTTGAAATAACTGATCGGTCTTGGTGCGATTTAGTCATTTATACGTTCAAAGGTGAAAAAGTCCTGCGAGTGACCAGGAATTAAAAGTTTTGGACGATAATGCTTAAAAAATTGAGAACGTTTTACTTGTTCCATCTATTACCTTCTGTTCTAAATTTTTCAAACCTATCCAAGTCACAAAGGAAGTGGACAACTGCCGAACCAATAAAAGTTATGGATAACGGTTTGGTAGAAAACATTTATTTCTACCGACAGTTGCCGGATAAAAGGGGTTACGTAGTATTAGTAAACAGAGATCTGTACTTTTCAATTAAAGAGCTGCTTCAGGACGATTTTGCTACACTGCATGATAGGCAGTATCTAAGTAATTTCGTCGTAGATCACTGCCTGCACACAATCAATAGATCCAGCGGCAACAAATTCCAAATCGTTTCAGTTTCGAAATCATCGATAATATTTTCTGACAACAATTATCCCATTTCCTTTGTTGAAAGCGTTACGTTCACCAAAGATTTGATAGTTATGCCAGTTCTCCAAAATAATCATTACACATTACTGATTTTCTCTATCACGGAAAATTTAGTGACATTTCTTGATCCCATGGGTAATGAGTTACTCTTCAAAAATACTTATTGTGAAAGACTGTCAACATTTTTGAGGTATAAAAACATAAGCATAACCAAGTTCAATTTTAAAATACCAGACCACGTAATACAAAAAGAT